AATAATGTACATAGTATTCTTTGAATAACACGATACGCAAAAACATGTCTTACATGATAATATCTTGTAGAAAAATAAGAAGGATTTTGCAATTAAATTCCGTTCCTCTGGCTCTCTACCATTAAAAAAATCATCACAATTGAGATAGGGTGGGTGGGTGGGGCTTATATTTATCCTTTTCTCTTAATATACGTAGTCGTCTTTTCAGAACAAGAAATTTAAAACATATTTAAAATGGTAAATTTGTATAGGAAACTATCGATTTTGCAATTACGCTCCGCCCCTCAGCTTACAACGAATAAAAGAAAAATCATCAGAATTGAGACAGGGCGGGTGGGCGGGGCTTATATTATGCCCTTTTTCCTAATATACATAGCTATTTTTTCACAACAAAAAACTTAAAACATGGTTAAAGTGGTACATTTTTGCAAGGAAATATGGATTTTGCAATTATTGGGCGGAGCCTAATTGCAAAATCGATATTTCCTTATACAAATTTTCCATTTTAAATATGTTTAAGTTTCATCTTGCGAAAAAAAGTCTACACATATTCAAACAAAAAGGCAAAATGTAGGCCCGCCCACCCACCCTCCCTCAATTGTGATGATTTTTTTAATTCGCCCTGAACTAGAGGGGCAAAGGTTAACTGCAAAATATTTTTTCTTTACAAGAAATTAAAAATATGCTTTTGAGTATCGTTAATTAAAGAATACTTTGTACATTAAGAAAAAACAGGCAAAATATAAAACCCCGCCCACCCACCCCATCCTAATTGTGATGAATTTTTTTATTCTTAGATACTTAAAATACATTTAAAATGGTAATTTTTTGTAAGGAAATTGGGTTTTGCAATTAGGCTCCACCTCTAGATCTGCCAACGAATGAAAATTTCATCATTATTTAGATCAGGACAGGTATAGGTGGAGCGTAATAATATACATAGTATTCTTTGAATAACGCGATTACTTAAGAACATATTTCACATGGTAATTTCTCGTAGAAAAATACGGATTTTACAAATATGCTCTGCCCCTCAGCTTACGACGAATAAAAAAAAATCATCAGAATTGAGACAGGGCGGGTGGGCGGGGCTTATATTATGCCTTGTTTTCCTAATATACATAGATATTTTTTCACAACAAGAAACTTAGAACATGGTTAAAATCGTACATTTTTGCAAGGAAATATGGATTTTGCAATTATTGGGCGGAGCCTAATTGCAAAATCTATATTTCCTTATACAAATTTTCCATTTTAAATATGTTTTAAGATTCATCTTGCGAAAACAAGTCTACACATATTCAAACGAAAAGGCAAAATGTAGGCCCGCCCACCCGCCCTATCTCAATTGTGATGATTTTTTTTTTATTCAGCGTGAACCAAGGGGGCGAATTTTAACTGCAAAACACTTATTTCTTTAGAAGAAATTAAAAACATTTTTTGAGTGTCGTGTAATTAAAGAATACTATGTACATTAAGAAAAAACAGACAAAATATAAACTCCCGCCCACCCAGCCCATCCTGATTGTGATGATTTTTTTTAATCTTAGAAACTTAAAACACGTTTAAAATGGCAATTTTTTGTAAGGAAATTGAATTTTGCAATTAGGCTCCGCCTCTAGATCTCCCAACGAATGAAAATTTCATCATTATTTAAATCAGGACAGGTATAGGTGGAGCTTAATAATGTACGTAGTATTCTTTGAATAACACGATTACTTAAGAACATATTTCACATGGTAATTTCTAGGAGAAAAATAAGTATTTTACAATTAAGCTCCACCCCTGAGCTTACAACGAATAAAAAAAATCTTTACAATTAGGCTCCGCCTCTAGGTCTGCCAACGAATGAAAATTTCATCATTATTTTGATCAGGACAGGTATAGGTGGAGCTTAATAGTATACATAGTATTCTTTGATAACACGTTTACTTAAGAACATATTTCATGTGGTAATTTCTAGGGGAAAAATAAGTATTTTACAATTAAGCTCCACCCCTGAGCTTACGACGAATAAAAAAAAAATCATCAGAATTGCGACAGGGTGGGTGGGCGGGATTTTCTTATACTTTGTTTTCCTAATATATACTAAGTGCAAAAAAAATCCGAAAAGATTTTCAAAAAAATTATTATTCTATCCAAGTGTTCGGATTTTTTTTGCACTTAGTATACATAGCTATTTTTTCACAACAAGAAACTTGGAACACGGTTAAAATAGTACATTTTTGCAAGGAAATATGAATTTTGCAATTATGGAGTGGAGCCTAATAGCAAAATCCATATTTCCTTTCTCAAATCTTCCATTTTAAACATGTTTGAAGTTTCATCTTGTGAAAAGAAGTCTACAGACATTAAAATAAAAAGGCAAAATGTAGGCCCGCCCCCCCGCCCCATCTCGTTTGTGATGATTTTTTTTATTGGCCGTGAACCAAGGGTGTAGAGCTTAACCGCAAAATACTTCTTTATAAGAAATTAAAAACATGTTTTTGAGTGTCGTATTGTTCAAACAATACTATATATATTAAGAAAAAAAAGCAAAATATAAACCCCGCCCACCCACCCCATCTCATTTCTGACGATTTTTTTAATCTTAGAAATTTTGTAAGGAAATTGGATTTTGCAATTATGCAAGTATGAGTGGGATTTAATTTTTGGCTTTAATCTTTTCTTAATATACATAGTTTGAATAACTTGAAACAGACGTTTAAAAAAATCATAACAATTGAGATAGGGTGGGTGGGCGGGGCTTATATTTTGCCTTTTTTGCTTAAAAAGAAACTTAAAACGTGTTTACGATGGTAAATTCTTGTAGACAAATATGGATCTTGCAATTAAGCCCCGCCCCTTGATCTGACAACGAATGAAATATTCATCACAATTGAGAATTGAGATCGGGGTGGGTATGGGGGGGAGGAAATCTTTGGCTTTACTTTTTTCTTAATATATGTACAAATAAGGATTTTGCAGTTGAGCTCCGGCTTCGTGGCTCACGATGAATAAAAAAAATCATCACAATTGAGATAGGGTGGGTGGGCGGGGCATATATTTTAATTGATGAAGAACAAAGAAACAAAGGAAAAGTGTTGGCAAATTACCACTTAAAAAGGTTATTAAGCAATCACGGAGTCTAATAAAACGAAATTTGGTATAATAAAAACCCAATTCGTTTTCTTTCAAAAAAGATTGGATAATAAATTTTATATTTATTCATTTGGTGTAATTGTTCCAAAACGGATTTTATATTTGAGTAAAACTACAATTTTGATTGTTATAAGCAAATGTGCTATTGTTTATAGAGGGAATTAGCTTTAAGTGTCCATTGTGGTACGTAAGTACAACTAAATGAAGTCGATAAGATTTTTAGAAGTAACTAGCCACAATTCCAATCGATTATCGTTTAATACAAACTCAGTACTGAAAGTTGCATTGATTGCTCATCCTCGACGTTTTCATGTGAGAATTTTTAGTACAGTAGTCTAACTGAACTGAAGCACACTAACGAAATTAATTATCTCAGAGACAATTAAACCGAGTGATAGCTCCTTTAATTGAGTTCTGCCAATTCCTCCGCATTTTTTCCTTGCGGTAACTTTCAGTTGGATGATCCCCTTTGAAGTGAAAAGTAGAACGAATCGATTTAATCATTCCACAACAAATTCAATTATTTATTTTTCTCGGTAGTCTTAACTTCGTCCATTTGGTTGATGATTTCGGAACGACGAATGTGGCCTATCATTAATGTATAAATGAAACGTGATTAGTAAACTAGTTCAAGACGACGTAGCAAATCATTTTTAAATAATTCATAGCGATCGATGCCGAGTGACCTATCTCGTTGACAAGAATCTAATCCCGGTATTATTTTCATTCTGGCTGCTGCTGCACAAGAGGCGCTTGGACTCTCTCCAAAACCCCGAAATAGAATACTACAATACCGTGTCTTTCCGCTTAATTAGAACGCGCTAAATCGCATTAAAACAGTCAAACATGAACAAGGACCAAATAATTAGACGAATTTACAAATCTTTTCGACTTCACCAAACAGGTGAAGGTTATTAATAATTTTATCGATAACATCTGCGTTTTAAACAGACTTTTCCATGCCACCGTTTTCTCACTCAAATATTTATCGAGATAACAACGCGTCGCGAAAAAACGACAATTTTAGGTTATTGCCACGTGACCTATCGACGTTTTAATTGCGTCTAGAACACGCTGTATACCACTTGACCCTCAAGGTAATTACAATTAGCATTTGCTCATACTTGACTCATCCTCCTGAAAAACAAAAGAATGACGGGAGGAAACGGCCCGTGTGTGCACTTATTGTTTTTTCTCCCCGCTGCGTACACAACTTTCACTAACATTTACATATTTATTCGGAAACGCGCAGAGACGCCGATTTCGAAAGAGCGATGAGCACCGTAGCTTTTCGTGCTCTAGATGAACAGATAACCAAACAATGTGACGCGAAAAGTAACACTTCAGGTACGAAGTAGCGGAAGCAAGTGGTAGAAAAAGAACCCGAAATCCGGTTCTGTCGCCAAAAACGCCGTTTTCATGGATGGAAAGTCGACGCGGAAGTGCGCTGGGTGCCAAAAGGGAACGAAGCGAGCGCAGCGAGCAGAGATATTTGCAGCAGTGCTGTCATGCTTACGATATCCGCAAGTGTTAAATCGATTAGCACATACTGTTGTTGTAATATTTTGTTGAATTGTTTGTAAATACTGTGTGATAATGTCGCTTTTACCCATTTCTGAAATATGTATACCCGATCCGCGCGTCTAATAAAATCTCGATCCGACCCGTCCCTGGCGGTAAAAATAAAATAATCCCGTCCTTCGACCAGCCCACTTGGAACTCGTCGCCGTGACAAGTCCGAAGAATTCAGAAAGGAATTGAGCGGGTTTTGGTGACATTTGAGTCGCGATTGACCAAAACGGAATCGCGGAAGAGCGATTTAAATTTAGAAAGCTGTTTCGAAAATTCCGGAGACTTACTAGTTCGACGAGTTTAATGATTCCGGGGGTGGTTTTGAAGTAATCCAAATTGATTTTAATCCAAGATAGGGGCTGTTCACTAGTTTGGGGTTTGTTGGCGGCATTGTTGTTGGGTGCTTCTTGCACGTTCACTACCGTTTCTGTCATCATTAGACAGAATGTGGATTTTCTCAAGGTTTTCTTTTAACACCTGTTAACACCGCACCAGCACAACAATTTCTAGTTAGAATCCAAGTTGGCGCGCCGCGATCGCTCGACTATCAGAGAATATCGTGAAGGTGGGGCAACGCGATCGGCGGAACTAGGTCTCGGCACAGGTCTCGGGCTGTCTTGCTGTCAACGAATAGGTAGGAAAACGCTGTTGCATCTCAAGGTTGATGCGAGCGTGGAAAACTCCAGAAGTGCAGCGGTTGTTAAAAATAACGACGGGTTTTAATTGTACCCTAAATTGATTTATAATTGGCTTGGGTAGGTGGGCTCGATTGGAGTAAAAACCCAATTAAAAAAATTACGTTCCGAACTGTTATCATTTTGCACCAAAATTTCGATGCATACCAACGTGATTGTTGATTTTTGCTGCTTGAAAACAAGTCTGATGTTCCGGTTGAAAATCTCATAACGGTGTAGGTAGGCAACCCAAAATACAGCTGGTGTTTCACCTCTGTGTCATTTCTCTGGTAATCGATGTTTTTGTGGAACTTTTCTACGTAGCTATAACATAGTTTAGCTTTACTTTGTTTTTCAGAATTTCTTAGTCACGCGACACCCATGGATTTGTGGGTGTTGGGCGTGTGGGTGGAAGAAGGTGTTTCTCGGAATATCTTTGACGATGTTGGGTTTAATTAAAAATTCCCAAAAATGGGTACGCTGGACCGGGATGACTTTTGTGTTTTTATTTTTCGTTCGAGAATTTTCTCCGCTCTGGTTTTAAAATGTTTCAATCTCCTTTTTTTAGTGTTTTTGCACCCTTCCTCTCTGATTCTTCCTCCTTTCTTCCGTTCCTTCTAAACCCTGTCTCTCTTTTCCTTTTTCTTCCTCCGTACTTTCTTCGTTTTTTCCCTTGTTCTTCTTTCATTATTACATATATTTTCTCCTTTTTTTTCCTCTCTCTTTTTCTCTTTTATTCGCTCCCCCTTCTTCATCTCCATCACTTTTCCTTTATTTTCTTCCCATTGTTCCCTCCCGGTTTGTTTATTGCTCGTTTACTTTTATTGCTCGATCTCATTCTCCGTCTGTTTTCTCTCCCTTCATCCCTTTTCTGCACCTTCCTTGTTTCAGTCGTCCCGTCTTCGTTTTCTCTCTCTTCCTTCCGCTCTCTCTCTCCTCCCTCTAATCTTTGTTCTACTTGTTCTTTTTACTTTCTTTCTTCGTCTCTCTTTTTAAATTCCCGAGCGCTAGCTAAGGGAGTATTGTAATAGGGTCCATTCGACGAATAGATGCTTTTAGGTTTTCTCGACGTTTTGTGACCCCTAGAGTACGAAAAAGTAGGTCCCCATTTCCGTCTGTCTGTCTGTTTGTCTGTCGGTTGTGTTAGTTTTTATATGTGTGTTAGAAATATGATTTTGAATGAAATTTTGATGAAATTTTTTCTCTTTTACTCCTGCACTTGTGGTTTATGAATCCGTGTTGAGTTTTTACTCTATACATCCTGATTTTTGTGTAAAAACATTTTACAATTTAACGTTGAAAATTATAATTTTTTTACTTCTCGATTTTCGAATTTTTGATATTCATATATTTTAAATCTTGTTACTTCAAGAATTTTCGATTTCTTGATTTTTCAATTTTTTTATTTTTAGAATTCAGGTAGATTTCTTCGATTTTCCGAAGTTTCGAATTTTAGATTTTTGGATATTCGATTTCTTGAATTTCCAATTTTCTTTTTGCGATTTTTCAATTTTTCGAATTTTGATTTTTCGAATTTGCAGTTTTTCCATTCTACAATTTTTCGACTTTTCAATTTCCCGATTTTTCAATATTTCAGTTTTCAATTTTTATTTTTTCAAATTTTGTATTTTCTTCAATCTTTCGATTTTTAGTTTCTTTTTTACTTTTCAGTTTTTTCAATTTTTCGATTTGCCGATGTTTCGAGTTTTAGATTTTTACATATCCGATTTCTTCAATTTCCGATTTTTCTTTTTTAGATTTTTGAAATTTCGAATTTTCGATTTTGCAGTTTTCCCATTCATAAGTTTTTCGACTGTTAAATTTCCCGATTTTTCATTATTTCGATTTTTAACTTTTTTACTATTCAGTTTTTTAATTTCTCGATTTTTCAATTTTTAGACTTTCCAGTAGATTTCATCCATTTTTCGAAGTTTCGAATTTTTAAATTTTGGAAATTCGATTTCTTTAATTTCCGATTTTTGGTTTTCGAATTTTCGATTTTGCAGTTTTTCCATTCTTCAGTTTTTGGCCTTTTCAATGTCCCGATTTTTCAATATTTCGATTTTCGTTTTTTGGTTTTTCGATTTTTAAATTTTTTAACTTTTCGGTTTTTTAGTTTCTCGATTTTTCAATTTTTTGATTTTTAGACTTTCCGGTAGATTTCTTCGATTTTCCGAAGTTTCGAATTTTAAATTTTTCGATAACCGATTTTGCAGTTTTTCCACTCTTCAGTTTTTGGATTTTTCAATTTCCCGATTTTTCGAAATTTGGAATTTCGATTTTTATTTTTTCCAATTTTCGAATTTTCAATGTTTCCATTCTTCAATTTTTCGTTGTTTAAATTTTTTTACTTTATGAGTTTTTTAATTTCTCGATTTTTCAATTTTTTTATTTTTAGACTTTCCGGTAGATTTCTTTGATTTTCCGAAGTTTCGAATTTGACATTTTTGGATATGCGATTTCTTGAATTTCCGATTTTCTTTTTTTCGATTTTTCGATTTTCGATTTTTCGAGTTTACGAATTTGCAATTTTTTCAGTTTTTAGACTTTTTAGTTCCCGGATTTTTCAATTATTGGGTTTTTGATTTTTGGACGAGTCCATTCTTCAATTTTTCGATTTTTCCAATTTTTTACTTCTCGAGTTCTCGATTTTCGAATTTTCTATATTCATATTTTAAATCTTGTGACTTTCAAACTTTTCGTTTTGTTGATTTTTCAGTTTTTTGATTTTTAGACTTTTTGGTAGATTTCTTCGATTTTTCGAAGTTTCGAATTTCAGATTTTTGGATAATCGATTTCTTGAATCTCCGATTTTTTTTTCGAATTTTCGATTTTGCAATTTTTCCATTTTTCAGTTTTAGACTTTTCAATTTCCGAAGTTTTAATATTTGGATTTTCGATTTTTGTTTTTACGAATTTTCGATTTTTGAGTGTGACCATTCTTAAATTTTTCGATTTTTCCATTTTTTACTTCCCCATTTTTTAACTTCTCGAGTTCTCGTTTTTCGAATTTTCTATATTCATATTTTAAATTTTGTTACTTTAAGACTTGTCGATTTGTTGGTTTTTCAATTTTTTGATTTTCAGACTTTCCGGTAGATTTCTTCAATTTTTCAAAGTTTCGAATTTCACATTTTTGTATATGCGATTTCTTGAATATCCGATTTTCCTTTTTTTGATTTTTCGATTTTTCGATTTTCGATTTTTCGAGTTTACAATTTTGCAATTTTTCCATTCTTTAATTTTTAGGCTTTTTAGTTCCCGGATTTTTCAATATTTGGATTTTTGTTTTTTGAAGTTTTGATTTTTGAGTGAGTCCATTCTTCAATTTTTTAATTTTTCCAATTTTTAACTTCCCGATTTTTTAACTTCTCGAGTTCTCGATTTTCGAATTTTCTGTATTCATATTTTAAATCTTGTAATTTCAAGATTTTTCGATTTGTTGATTTTTCAATTTTTTCATTTTTAGACTTTCGGTAGATTTCTTCGATTTTCCGAAGTTTCGAATTTTAACTCTTTGGATATTCGATTTCTTGTATTTCCAACTTATCTTTTTTAGATTTTTGAATTTTCGAATTTTCGAATTTGCAGTTTTTCCATTCTTCAGTTTGTAGACTTTTAATTTCCCGATTTCTCAATATGCGGATTTTTGATTTTTGTTTTTTCCAATTTTCGATTTTTCAGTGTTTCGATTGTTAAATTTTTCGATTTTTCCATTTTTTGATTTTTAGACTTTCGGGTAGATTTTTTCGATTTTCCGAAGTTTCGAAATTTAGAATTTTGGATATCCGATTTCTTGAATTTCCGATTTTTCTTTTTTCAATTTTTGATTTTTCTAATTTTCAATTTAGCAGTTTTTCCATTCTTCAGTTTTTAGACTTTTCAATTTCCCCAATTTTTAATACATATTTCGAATTTCTATGTTTGTTTTTTCGAATTTTCGATTTTCAGTGTTTCCTTTCTTTAATTTTTCAATTTTTTAATTTTTAGACTTTCCGGTAGATTTCTTGGATTTTCCGAAGTTTCGAATTTTAGATTTTTCAATATCCGATTTCTTGAATTTTTCGATTTTTGTTTTTTCGAATTTTCGATTTTACAGTTTTTCCATTCTTCAGTTTGTAGACTTTTCAATTTCCCGATTTCTCAATATGTGGATTTTTGATTTTTGTTTCTTCCAATTTTCGATTTTTCAGTGTTTCGATTGTTCAATTTTTCGATTTTTTAATTTCTCGATTTTTCCATTTTTTTTATTTTTAGACTTTCGGGTAGATTTTTTCGATTTTCGAAGTTTCGAATTTTAGAATTTTGGATATCCGATTTCTTGAATTTCCGATTTTTCTTTTTTCAATTTTTGATTTTTCCAATTTTCGATTTAGCAGTTTTTCCATTCTTCAGTTTTTAGACTTTTCAATTTCCCGAATTTTCAATCCATATTTCGAATTTCGATTTTTGTTTTTTCGAATTTTCGATTTTTCAGTGTTTCCTTTCATTAATTTTTAAACTTTCCGGTAGATTTCTTGGATTTTCAAAAGTTTCGAATTTTAGATTTTTCAATATCCGATTTCTTGAATTTTTCGATTTTTCGGTTATACAGTTTTTCCATTCTTCAGTTTGTAGACTTCAAATTCCCGATTTCTTAATATGTGGATTTTTGATTGTTTTTTTTTCCAATTTTCGATTTTTCAGTGTTTCGATTGTTCAATTTTTCGATTTTTTAATTTCTCGATTTTTCCATTTTTTGATTTTTCGATTTTCGGGTAGATTTTTTCGATTTTCCGAAGTTTCAAATTTTAGAATTTTGGGTATCCGATTTCTTGAATTTCCGATTTTTCTTTTTTCTATTTTTGATTTTTCCAATTTTCGATTTAGCAGTTTTTCCATTCTTCAGTTTTTAGACTTTTCAATTTCCCGAATTTTCAATACATATTTCGAATTTCGATTTTTGTTTTTTCGAATTTTCGATTTTTCAGTGTTTCCTTTTTTTAATTTTTAAACTTTCCGGTACATTTCTTGGATTTTCTGAAGTTTCGAATTTTAGATTTTTTAATATCCGATTTCTTGAATTTTTCGATTTTTGTTTTTTCGAATTTTCGATTTTACAGTGTTTCCATTCTTCAATTTTTCGATGTTTGAATTTTTTTACTTTTCAGTTTGTTAATGTCTCGATTTTTCCATTTTTTGATATTTAGACTTTCCGGTAGATTTCTTCGATTTTCCGAAGTTTCGAATTTTAGATTTTTGGATATTCGATTTCTTGAATTTCCGATTTTTCTTTTTTCGATTTTTGATTTTTCGAATTTTTGATGTTGGAGTTTTTCCATTCTTCAGTTTTTAGGCTTTTCAATTTCCCGATTTTTTAATATTTCGATTTTCAATTTTTGTTCTTTCGATTTTTATTTTTTCGAATTTTCGATTTTTCAGTGTTTCCATTTTCAATTTTTCGATTTTTTAATTTTTATACTTTTCAGTTTTTTAATTTCCTGACTTTTCAATTTTTTTATTTTTCTATTTTCCGGTAGATTTTTTCGATTTTCCGAAGATTCGAATTTAGATTTTTGGATATCCGATTTCTTGAATTTCCGATTTTTCTTTTTTCGATTTTCGATTTTTCGAATTTTCGATTTTGCAGTTTTTCCATTCTTCAGTTTATAGACTTTTCACTTTCCCGATTTTCCAATAGTTCGATTTTCGATTTTTGTTTTTTCGGGTTTTCGATTTTTCAGTGTTTCCATTTTTCAATTTTTCGCTTTTGTAATTTTTTTTACTTTTCAGTTTTTTAATTTCTCGATTTTTCAATTTTTTGATTTTTAGACTTTCTGGTAGATTTCTTGGATTTTCCGAAGTTTCGAATTTTAGATTTTTCAATATCCGATTTCTTGAATTTCCGATTTTGCTTTTTTAGATTTTTGATTTTTCGAATTTTCGATTTGCAGTTTTTCCATTTTTCAGTTTTTCGACTTCATTCCCTGTTTTTCAGGATTTCGATTTTTAATTTTTGTTTATGCGAATTTTCGATTTTTCAATGTTTCCATTCTTCAATTTTTCGATTTTTAATTTTTTTTACTTTTAAGTTTTTTGATTTCTTGATCTTTCAATTTTTTGATTTTTAGACTATCCCGTAGATTTCTTCGATTTTGCAAAGTTTCGAATTTTTGATTTTCGGATATCCAATTTTTTGAATTTCCGATTTTTCTTTTTTCGATTATTGATTTTTCGAATTTTCGGTGTTGCAGTTTTTCCATTCTTCACTTTTTCAACTTTTCAATTTCTCGATTTTTCAAAATTGTTTTTAGATTTTTGTTTTTTCCAATTTTTAGTTTTTCAGTATTTCTATTTTACAATTTTTCGATTTTTAATTTTATTTACTATTCAGTTTTTTAATTTCTCGATTTTTCAATTTTTAGGCTTTCCAGTAGATTTCTTCCATTTACCGAAGTTTCGAATTTTTGAATTTTGGATATTCGATTTCCTTTATATCCGATTTTTCTTATTTCGATTTTTGTTTTTTCGAATTTTCGATTTTTCGATTTTTAAATTTTTTTACTTTTTGATTTTTAGACTTTCCGGTAGATTTCTTCAATTTTCCGAAGTTTTGAATTTTAAATTTTTGGATATCCGATTTCTTGAATTTTAGATTTTTGATTTTTCGATTTTGCAGTTTTTCTGTTCTTCAGTTTTTATACTCTTCAATTTCCCGATTTTTCAAATATTGAAATTTCGTTTTTGATTTTTCGAATTTTCGATTTTTCACTGTTTCCATTCTTTCAATTTTTCGATGTTTAAATATTTTCACTTTCCTGTTTTATAATTTCTCGATTTTTCAATTTTTCCGGTAGATTTCTTCCATTTTCGATTTTTGTTTTTCCGAATTTTCGATTTCGCAGTTTTTCCATTCTTCAATTTTTCGATTTTTAGTTTTTTTATTTTTCAGTTCTTTTATTTCTCGATTTTTCCATTTTTTGATTTTTAGATTTTTCGGTAGATTTCTTCAATTTTCCGAAGTTTCGAATTTTAGATTTTTCGATATCCGATTTCTTGAATTTCCGATTTTCCTTTTTTCGGTTTTTGATTTTTCGAATTTTCGATTTTGCAGTTTTTCTATTCTTCTTTTTAAATTTTTCTATTTTTCAGTTTTTTAATTTCTCAATTTTTCCACTTTTTGATTTTTAGACTTTTCGGTCGATTTCTTCAATTTTTCGAAATTTCGAATTTTAGATTTTTCGATATCCGATTTCTTGAATTTCCGATTTTCCTTTTTTCGATTTTTGATTTTTCGAATTTTCGATTTTGCAGTTTTTCCATTCTTCAATTTTTCGATTTTTAATTTTTTTTATATTTCAGTTTTTTAATTTCTCGATTTTTCCATTTTTTGATTTTTAGACTTTTCGGTAGATTTCTTCAATTTTCCGAAGGTTCGAATTTTAGATTTTTCGATATCCGATTTCTTGAATTTCCGATTTTTCTTTTTTCCATTTTCGATTTTTCGAATTTTCGATTTTGCAGTTTTCCATTCTTCAGTTTTTAGACTTTTCAATTTCCCGATTTTCCAATATTTCGATTTTCGATTTTTGTTTTTTAGGGTTTTGGATTGTTCAGTGTTTCCATTTTTAAATTTTTCGATTTTTTAATTTTTTTACTTTTCAGTTTTTTAATTTCTCGATTTTTCAATTTTTTGATTTTTAGACTTTCTGGTAGATTTCTTGGATTTTCCGAAGTTTCGAATTTTAGATATTTCAGTATCCGATTTCTTGAATTTTTTTCTTACTTCTCTCCTACTAGTTCTGTTTTGTCGCCCTCTCTCTCTGTTTCGGACTGTTAAATGTTAAATAAATGTTACTAATTCCAAAATGTAAATGTAAATAATTAAATAAATCAAAATATATAAATCTTTTTCTTCCCATTTTGTCTTCCTCTCTTTCTTATCTATTTTTTGAAGATTTTGGCTAAAAAATCCTATAAATGTGAATACTGGCGAGTCAGACATGACATGACGTCATCACATTTTTGGAGTGAACAAATAAGCGAATTTCTATACTGTAATAACAGAGAAAATTTAATTTTCATTTAAAACAAGCAAGAAATCAAACTGATCATAAAAAATTGGCGTTTCCAATTTGGGCGCCTTTCCCCTATCCACAACCGCCACACCCGATTTCCGCCTCCCTTTCCCTACTATACCGTCAATCGACCGGCGTATATCTGGTTGCCTATCTTCCTCTACCATCAAAAAACCCAGACGACGAACTTTTCCCACCCGGCAGTAGGTCGTTTGTTGCATCAACACCATTACAATCAATCCGTTCATTTCATCTCTCCCAGCCCGAATCGCGAAAACTCGAATGCGGTGGAAAGATGCTAGATTTCTTTTCCACAAGAAAAATGTGAGTGTCCCATCAAAAATGTGAAAAGTAAACAGTGAAATCTAATCGGCAATATTGTGATACGGTAAGCAAAACAGGAATTGTTTGCATAGAAATAGAGGTTAGGAAACGGATGTTATTTGCTTTGTTGATAAAAATAATGGCGCTTATCGAAGGAATGACCACGTTTACACGCGACATGCAATCGGTGTAAACAAAGAGAAAATACGAGAAAAACCAGGTTTGCGGCGGGACGTTCACCTGGGATTTATTTACATTTGATTTCGAGGCTGATGCCCCAGATGCTCACGAGAACTGGCGGAATTTGAATAATTACGAGTTTAATGGAGCTGGGGGTCGTTCACGGGCCCAACTTTCGGTTTTAAACATTTAATTATAATTTTACTACATTACAAATGGAACGAAGTATAAATATCCATCGTCGGTTACAAATGTAGAATCACGATTGTGTAACGATGTCGCCATAAACTCATTCAATTAAACACAATCAAGGCGATTTTTGCGGAGAAAAGAAAAATCCTTTGTTGTCGCGCCACCGGAAACGAATTGCCTCCATTATTTGCAACATCTTCCTGGTGAATTATTCACAAAAGCAGACAAACTTGCGCTTCACTTTCTTTTGTTTCCTGTGAAACCTGAAAGTCGTTTGTTTTTGTTTTAACAAGACAAGTGTGATGGGTTTGTGTAAAGGTCGATTTATAAACTTGTCGCTGACGTTGCCGTTCGCCGTTGACGTTACCGTTGACGCTGGGTTTTCAACCAATCAAATTGCGGTGGTGTGCAGAAGGAAAACCCAAAGTAGGAGAGATATTTTGTCTTTTTTTTGATATACATAGCCACCTTTTCACAACACGAAACTTAGAACATGGTTAAAATGGTACATTTTTGCAAGAAAATATGGATTTGGCAATTGTGGGGCGGAGCCTAATTGCAAACTCGATATTTCCTTACACAAATTTTCCATTTTAAACATATTTTAAGGTTTTTTGTTGTGAAAAGACGTGTACACATTTTCAAACAAAAAGACAAAATATAAGCCCGCCCACCCACCCTGTCTCTATTGTGATGATTTTTTTTATTCGCCATGAAATAAGAGGGCGGAGCTTAACTGCAAAATACTTGTTTCTTAACAAGCAATTAAAAACATGTTTTTGAGTAATGTGAATTATGCTGATTTTTTTTATTCTTAGAAATTAAAACGCGTTTCAAATGGTAAATTTTTTATATTTTGTCTTTTTTCTTAATTAACATACGCAGTTGTCTTTTAAGAACAAGAAACTTAAAATACGTTTGAAATGGTAAATTCTTGTAGACAAATATGGATCTTGCATTTTAGCCCCGCCCCTCGATCTCACAACGAATGAAGAATTCATCACAATCGAGAATTGAGATCGGGGCGGAAATGGGTGGGGCCTAATCTTTGGCTTTATTTTTTTCTTAATATGCATAATATTCTTTGAACAACACGATACTCAAAAACAAGTTTTTAATTTCTCCTAGAGAAATAAGGATTTTGTAGTTAAGCTCCGCCCTCTTGGCTAACGACGAATAAAAAGAATCATCACGATTGAGATAGGGTGGGTGGGTGGGGCTACATTTTTCCTTTGTTTCTTAATATGTGTACTTATCTTTTCAGAACAAGAAACTTAAAACATGTTTAAAATGCTAAATTTGTATAAAGAAATATCGATTGATTCTTGTAGATTTCAGGCCGCAGAAGTCATTTCCGCTTTCGTTTCTTTCAATAACTCCAATGGTTTATCCAAAATCGTGCTTTGAACACTACAAATCCATGCAAAATAAGATCAATTTTCCACCAATTTTCATCAAAATTTTCGAAATTTCAAAGTTTACATTTTCTTGTAGATTTCAGGCCGTAGAAGTCATTTCCGCTTTCGTTTCTTCGATAACTCCAATGGTTTTTCCAGAATCGTCCTTTGAACACTACAAATCCATGCAAAATAAGACCAATTTTCCACCAATTTTCATCAAAATTTTCGAAATTTCAAAGTTTACATTTTCTTATTGATTTCAGCCGTAGAAGTCATTTCCGCTTTCGTTTCTTCGATAATTCCAATGGTTTTTCCAGAATCGTCCTTTGAACACTACAAATTCATGCAAAATTAGACCAATTTTCCACCAATTTTCATCAAAATTTTCGAAATTTCAAAGTTTAGATTTTCTCGTAGATTTCAGGTCGCAGAAGTCATTTCCGCTTTCGTTTCTTCGATAACTCCATTGGTTTATCCAGAATCCTCCTTTGAACATTACAAATCCATGCAAAATAAGACCAATTTTCATCAAAATTTTTGAAATTTCAAAGTTTACATTTTCTTGTAGATTTCAGGCCGCAGAAGTCATTTCCGCTTTCGTTTCTTCGATAACTCCAATGGTTTTTCCAGAATCGTCCTTTGAACACTACAAATCCATGCAAAATAAGACCAATTTTCCACCAATTTTCATCAAAATTTTCGAAATTTCAAAGTTTGCATTTTCTTGTAGATATCAGGCCGCAAAAGTCATTTCCGCTTTCGTTTCTTCGATAACTCCAATGGTTTTTCCAGAATCGTCCTTTGAACACTACAAATCCATGCAAAATAAGACCAATTTTCCACCAATTTTCATAAAAATTTTCGAAATTTCAAAGTTGACATTTTCTTGTAGATTTCAGGCCGTAGAAGTCATTTCCGCTTTCATTTCTTCTATAACTCCAATGGTTTTTCCAGAATCGTCCTTTGAACACTACAAATTCATGCAAAATAAGATCAATTTTCCACCAATTTTCATCAAAATTTTCGAAATTTCAAAGTTTACATTTTCTTGTAGATTTTAGGCCGCAGAAGTCATTTCCGCTTTCGTTTCTTCGATAACTCCAATGGTTTTTCCAGAATCGTTCTTTGAACACTACAAATCCATGCAAAATTAGACCAATTTTCATCAAAATTTTCGAAATTTCAAAGTTTACATTTTCTTGTAGATTTCAGGCCGCAGAAGTCATTTCCGCTTTCGTTTCTTCGATAACTCCAATGGTTTTTCCAGAATCGTCCTTTGAACACGACATATTCAAGAAAACAAGACCAATTTTCCACCAATTTTCATCAAAATTTTCGAAATTTCAAAGTTTACGTTTTCTTGTTCGATTACTTAAGAACATATTTCACATGGTAATTTCACGTATAAAAATAAGGATTTTATAATTAAGCTCTGCCCCTCGGCTTACCACGAATAAAAGACAATAATCAGAATTGAGACAGGGTGGGTGGGCGGGGCTTATATTTTGTCTTTTTTTCTAAATACACATAGCCATCTTTTCACAACAAGAAACCTAGAAATAGTTAAAATGGTACATTTTTACAAGGAAATATGGATTTTGTAATTATGGATCGGAGCCTAAATCCAAAAATTCATATTTCCTTATAGAAATTTTCCATTTTAAATATGTTTTAAGTTCCATGTGGTGAAAAAAAGTCTACACATTCTCAAACAAAAAGGCAAAATGTAAGCCCGCCCACCCGCCCGGTCTCAATTGTGATGAATTTTTTATTCGGCGTGAACCAAGGGGGCGGAGCTTAACTGCAAAATACTTATTTCTTTACAGGAAATTAAAAACATGTTTTTGAGTATTGTGTTCTTCAAGGAATATGTATATTAAGAAAAAAAGGGAAAAGTATATACCCCGCCCACCCACCCTATCTCAATTGTGATGATTTTTTTTTATTCTTTGAAACTTAAATCACGTTCCAAATGGTAAATTATTGTAAAGAAATATGGATTTTGCAATTAAATTCCGCTTTTTTGGATCTCGACGATTAAAAAAAAATCATCACACTTGAGATCGGGTGGGTGGGTGGGGCTTATATTTTGTCTTTTTTCTTAATTAACTTACGCAGTTGTCTTTTCAGAACAAGAAACAAATTCATCACAATTGAGAATTGAGATCGGGGCGGGTATGGGTGGGGCTTAATCACGATACTCAAAAACATGTTTTTAATTTCTCGTGGAAAAATGAGGATTTTGCAGTTAAGCTCCGCTCTCTTGGCTCACGACGAATAAAAAAAATCATCACAATTGAGACCGGGTGGGTGGGCGGGGCATATATTTTGCCTTTTTTTTTCTTAATATATGTAGACTTATTTCGACAACAAGAAACTTAAAGCATGTCTAAAATGGTAAATTTTTCTAGTAATCAACTTAAATCTACAACTGTAACGCGATCTTCAACGTCAACAAGTTTATAAATCCCACTTTTGTTAGCTAAAATTGTCACGGCCGATGAAGTTGGGTAACATTTTTTCGTTGTCGCTAATTGTGGCAGAAAGATTTAATCGATTCATTTCCCGAAAAAAAATAATTGAGGACAATTAGCTACTAATTAACAATTGAAAATAATTGGAGCTTAAAATACGTGACAAAATTAAATTTTGACAATTTTTCGATTAAAGTTTTCAGGTCATAAAGGAAATGGCATTCATTGTTGTAGTTTTTTTAATTCTTAACATGTCTATAAATTCATCGGAACGACATTCCTGTATAAATTGCGCAAATTGTGTTGTTAAAATGATAACGCGACTCAATAATTAACTTTTAATGGCTTGTTTATTTGCCTGGTTAAGTGTAACATAATAAGTTAGCCATTATGGTGCACCGACGTCGCCACTTTGGCAGTTGGGTCAAATTTAATGGCTTCACCACGTGCTGGCTGGACAGTTTCCAAAAAAATTCTAGAATCTAATCTCACCGTATCAGTCATAAAATCGCGATTTTTTTCCAGGTACTAGTACTTCATGCGTGCATTTATTAATCAGTTTCCTGTTTCTGATTCATATAATTAGCGCCTGTGAGTCACGCAAGCGTGAAAGTAATTCGAACTTTTGAAAAAAATTAAAAACTGCATACCGACCAAAGTTTTAATTTTGTGTCTTATTTATATCGCTGCAATTTAATTCGTGTCATTTCATAACGGCATTCCACAACAGCTACCATAAAATTCCGATTTTCTCGTTCTTCGTTACGTACATTTCGCACCTGATGCCAAGAATTTAAACAGTTTGTGGATTGAATTCTCTTATCTCGAGAATTTTCACATGCTTGGAGTTTCGACACTCGATAAGTTGATTATCTCGTCACAAGTTCTATTACCTGTGGCGCATTCCACTAACCGTTCTATTTACCTCTAATTATCCAGGTCGATATTAAATCGATCAGTGAAAGGAGACCTTGTTAGGAGAGAAAAGACACTTTATCCGATTTTTCTTCCGCAGGTATGCTAAACGAGCCACAATGACACGAACAAAAGAAAAACTCCTCCATGATAAACCGATCAACACGTATTACCACCACAAATCCCACCAGACGACGCTGCTCAAAGGCTTGAACACCCTTTGGGAGAAAGGCGAGCTTCTGGACGTCACTCTGATCATAGAAGGCCAGGTTTTTAAGGCACACAAAGTCGTTTTATCCGCCTGTAGTGATTATTTTCGTGCCATGTTCACAAACAACATGTTGGAGTCGCGACAAGACGAGATTTGTTTGAATGGGATCACCGCTGCTGGGTTCCACCAGCTGCTAGATTACGCTTACACGTCTAGAATTATGCTAAATTTGGGGAATATACAGGATGTGTTGGAGGCGGCGTCGCACGTCCAGATGGAACCCGTAATCCAAGCGTGCTCCAAGTACTTATTGTCGCAGATAGACATCGATAATTGTATCGATATAGCGACTATCGCTGAAACTTACTCGTTGGAGAAGTTGCGCTTGATGGTGTATAGGTTCATGAGTGAGCATTTGTTGGAGTTTTCAAACTCCAAGGAGTTTTATAGACTGAGTCCGCAACAACTGGAGAATCTTTTGGCTTTGGATTTTCCAGTGGATTGTTCGGAAGCGGACGTGCTGCGGATCGTCCTCGCCTGGTTCTTCCACGTAGACAACTCCAAGTAATTAAACATTAAAATGTCTGCAAAATTTGACTTTTCTGATTTTTTTTTAAATTCTAGGCGCGACCTCCGCGTGTCCTACGCCATGCGCATCATCCACTACGTCCATTTCCAGGAGATCTCCCGCCGCAAACTCGAGAGCATCGTCAGCAAAATCTTCCACGACCGCACCAGCGAGTGGGACCTCTACAAAGTCGTACTATCCGAAGCCTACCTCCAAACCAACGCCGACAAAGTCACCGCCACCCCCAACCTGCTAAACTCCCGCGGGATGGAGCTAGCAGTCCTCAAAATCGGCGGTTTCGGGATCAGTGGAATCACCAACGAAATCACTTATTGTTTCTCAAGTGAAAGAAAATGGAAACATTTGACCACAATCCCCCATTTAGAACAATGCAACTTCGGGACTGCGGTCCTCAACAACGAACTTTACATAGTAGGGGGTTGCTTTAACCAATCCCTCCAGGAAAACATTCACCCGTTCGGGTTTAAATATAGCCCGAGGTACGACAAATGGTCGACTATGTCACCCATGAACGTCGAGCGTTGTCGCTTTTCGTTGAACGTGTTGGGGAATATGCTATACGCGGTAGGCGGAGCCAGCGAGATCGACGAATACGGGACGAGTACTTGCGAATGTTACGACCCGGTGCTGGACGCTTGGTACATGGTGGCGTCGCTCCCGGCGCACATCACCCAACATGCTGGTGCTAGCTATGAGTTTAATATGGACGCGAAGTTGTTTATTAGCGGCGGGATGGATCGGGATTCCATCCAGTCGGCTATGTTTTGTTACAGCGTGACCGAGGATAAGTGGGTGCCGTGCGCACCTATGCTGAGAGCGAGAGCTGATCACGTGATGTTGTCCATCGGTGACTACTTGTACGTTTGTGGGGGCTGGACGGAGGGCCCGGATAGTCGCTCCCGAATTTTGGTGGATACTATAGATGCTTATGATGTTAAGAATGATAGGTGGGAGGTGGTCACGAGGGTCCCGACGCCGCGGTACCACGCCGGGATTGTTTGTGTTGATCATAAGATTTTTTTTATTGGGGGGTTTTATAGTGATGATATGTTTGATAAGAGTACCGCGGCCATAGAGTTTTATGATATTACGACTGAGTGTTGGACTGCGGAGGAGAAGTACCCGCAGGATATTTGGGAGCATACGTGTGCCTCGTTGTTTATCCCGAAGTGGAGGGATGATATGCAGGATATGCAGGTCATTGCGAAGACGGAGAGTTAGGTCGATTTGGTTTTTTATTATATTTTTATAACTGTGTTTGGATTTTTGAAGAATATATATTTATTTTGTATTTTGAAGGTGGATTTTTATTGCTTGAATTTGTTAAATAGAAAGCACAATCGTTCGACGTCTGTTCATTCGTAAATATTTTTTTAACCTCAATTTTTTATTAAGTCAGCTTTGCGTCAATAACACATGGTAAAGCCAATATTGCCAGATTTATGCAAAATCATTCATTAATTTCGTCAGTCATAAAGAAGTAACAGCAGGTCGTATGGAAATGAGATACTTTGTAATCGAAATCGTCAGCACTTATATTTCTCTATTGTCTGAAGAAATTTTTTTGTACCTACAGTGTTTCTCCAGATAATTATCATCGATTTAACGTATCTCTAGAGCATTTAGCATTTCATATTTTCAGTATTGGACTCTTCGACGTTTTGATGAATTTCACAACCAAAAAGTTAGTTATCTTTTTGTGTCTGAACTGAAAATCTCTTAAACACCAGTTAACAGTGTAGAAGGGAGCAATTTTCAGACAAATTTGGTCAAAAATAAAAAGTTCTTTCACATAGAAATGTTGGGACAATAAAATCGATTTCCAAACGATGACAATGCATGAATGCAAATTCCCTTGCTCATTCTGCTGCGGATTACCAACAACTGTCCAATTCAAGGTCGAATCATACAAACAATATATTGTTGGGAGCAAACCCATCAGGAGCACCTTATTCATTCTATGTTGTCTATCGTGTTATTGTTCCAGGCTATTAATAGTCTACATATATGTAGTTAATTTTTATTTATAATAAGACTGATTTTGACAAATGGTATAACTTCCAAGAAAATAAAGGGTGGGTGGGCGGGGCCAATACTTGCCAAGATAAGACTGATTTTGGCAAATGAGATACCCTGTAAGAAAAGAGAGGGTGGGTGGGCGGGGCTAGTACATTATAAGATAAGAATGATTTTGGCAAATGACATACCTTCCAAGAAAAGAGGGGGTGGGTGGGCGGGGCTAGTACCTGATAAGATAAGAATGATTTTGGCAAATGAGAAACCATGTAAGAAAAGAGAGGGTGGGTGGGTGGGGCTAGTACCTGCTAAGATAAGAATGATTTTGGCAAATGACATACCTTCCAAGAAAAGAGAGGGTGGGCGGGCGGGGCTAGTACTTGCTAAGATAAGACTGACCAGGCGTGGATACAGGATTTCATTTAGGGGGGGGCAATTTTTGAGCGATTTTACTTATGTCGCAGAAATTCGTTCTAAACAAAAAAAATTATAAAATTTTAGCTAGTATACTCTTTTTCACATAACATGGGTGACATTTGGTTGTTTTCGTTACACGCATAGTGTACAGTAGAACCTCGATAATCCGAATTAATTGGAAAAAAGGCAGATTAACGATTTGTTCGGATCAGCAATTTTCCCAAAAATCTGAAAGGGAATTGAATAACAACTTCATACACAGTTGAAAACAAACTTCAAGAAATAAACCATAATTTTATTAAACAAAATTAAAGAATTCTTAAGCAACAATGGATAATAGATACATTCTAAAAAAATATTACTCCGTGACCATAAACACGCTATCTTTTTGGAATCAACACGCCGGGATGTATACCCAGAATTTTTAGATGAATTTTTCAAACAGGAAATTTTCAATTACATATATATTACCTCCATTATGCAAATTTCGACCCATTCTCGACGATTTTCGAAATTTAACTAAATACATTTTCTTGTAGATTTTGGGCATCAGAAGTCACTTCTGGCTTCATTTCTTCGATAACTTAAACCATTTTTCCAGATTCGTCCAGTTGAAATATCGCAATTTTTAAAAATTTCGAAAAATTCGAATTTCACACCGAATTTTCCGAATACATTGCTCGGTTACCATTAACATGCTATATTTTTGGAATCAGTACGTCGGGATATACATATATCCCTTAATTTTTTCAGAATTTTTAGGAAACTTTTTCAAAAATAAATTTTTCCTCATGCAAATTTCGACCCATTTTCGACGATTTTCGAATTTTAACTAAATACTTTTTCTTGTAGATTTCGGCCCTCATTTCTTCGATGACTTCAACCTTTTTCCAGACTTAGTTAATTAATTCAGTGCATTGAAATCGTAATTTTTAAAAATTTCAAAATATTCCATACAACATATGCAGAAAGATCTTGCGTCATTTTTGCAAGTAGGTGCGTGTTTTCAAGTTCAGTTCAGATTGCAGAGTTTTTGTTCGGATTAAAGAAGCATCGACTTCAAATAGCCTCTGTTCGGATTACTGGATGTTCAGATAATCGTGAATTCGGCTTATAGAGGTTGTACTGTATTTACAAAATGAAATTCGATTTCAAAATTTTGAAATTGGTCAAAATAAAGTACCTCGGTCGTGTGTTAGGGGGGCCCCTGGCCTACTCTGTAAGAAAATGAAGGGTAGAGGGTATATCATTTGGCACAATCAGTCTTATCTTAGTAGCATCTACTAGCGAAGGAAGTATTGTAGTCGAGACCGTCGGCCGACTCTTCTACTTTTATGTTTTCTCGACTTTTCATGATCCCTAGAATACGAAGAAATAGGTCTCCCGTTTCCGTCTGTCTGTCTGTCCGTCCGTCTGTCTGTCTGTTTGTCTGCCGTTCCGAGTTTTATTAGACACATAACTTCCAAAAGTACTGGGCCGATTTTTGTCAAATTTTGTATTTATGTTAGGAATATCATGTAGACGGTAAAACGCTAACCAAAATTTGTCTAATCATCCCCACCAATGATGTGACGTCACCTCAAAAATCCAGGTTTATAAACAAACATTTTGGAATTTTGCGGGATAAATCCTATCTAAAATGTCCAGAATATGATGAGTCTGTACTTGTCATTTATCATTCCATTAATATTTTTGGGATTTGCTTATACACAATGACTCACAAAAATTAATGAATGTGTGAATTTATTTTTTTGATTTAATCAGGAACTGGAAAACCGAATGCTTCGAAATCTTCCAGAGGTTTTAAAGTTATCATAAGCATGGCAAATTTTTGATCAAAATGTATTTGCTCATCTTTGTTAAAAAATTGAGGACGACATCTCAAAATTTTCCGAAATAAATTCTACCCAAAATGTGCGAAACATGATGAGTTTTTATTTGTAATTTATCACTGTATTCATATCTCTTAGATTTGTTTATACAGGTGGCTCAAAAAAATTAATGAATGAGTCAATTTATTTTATTGATTAAATCAGAAACGATTCACTCCATTTTCCCAGAAAATTTTGGGAATACAATATTCATTTTATACAAATTATTATTTTTCAATTTCCATTTTACATTGAATAAAATAAGTCAGTGAAATGGAGACAAGAAGTTGGCGAAGATGAGTTTAGGTTTTTTTAAAGAATTTTATAAGCACGTACTAGCCCCGCCCATCCACTCCCCTCTTCATTCCGATAACTACTCTTAATATTATTCAATCTTATCTTGGCAAGTCTAGCCCCGCCCACCCACCCTCTATTTTCTTAGAGGGTATGTGATTTGCCAAAGTTAGTTTTTTCTTAGCATGTACTAGGCCCGCCCACCCACCCTCTCTTTTCTTAGAAGGCATGTGATTTGCCAAAATTAGTTTTATCTTATCAGGTACTAGGCCCGCCCACCCACCCTCTCTTTTCTTGAAGGATATGTGATTTGCCAAAATCAGTCTTACCTTAGCAAGTACTATAAAAAAATTTAAAAATTGAAAAATTGCAAATCGAGTTTAGTTTTGTGAGCAAGCAGTAGTCCCGCCCACCCAACAATTCTCTTCAATTGAAATCCACCTATGATTCGGACTAGACAAAATGAATCACTGAAATGGAGGTTGGGTGGGTGGGCGGGGTGAATTATATATTCTCTTGTAAAATGAGAATGGGAACTAATAAAACGTAGACTGTAAAAAAATGTTAATCATAATTTTTTACTACTTATTTGCTGTAACATTTATTTCTTGTTTCTGAAGAAAAAAATCAGAGAACGGGTGGGTGGGTGGGGCTAAATTTGACTTTTTTCTATATAATCTTTTATAAGCAAGCAATAGCCCCGCCCACCCACCCTCTCTTCATTCCAGTGATTACTCTTAATATTGTTCAGTTATTTACCGAAATCAATCTTATTTATTTTGTTATGCTACTAATTTGATATAACATTTTTTTCTTATTTCTGAAAAAAAGAGAGAACGGGTGGGTGGGCGGGGCTAATTTTAACATTTTCCAAAAGAATCTTTTATAGGCAAACAAGAGCCCCGCCCACCCACCCCCTCTTCATTCCAGTGATTCCTCTTGATATTGTTCAGTGGATACTAAAATCAGTCTTATTTTAACAAATACTATCTCCGTCCACCCGTCCTCTATTTTCTTAGGGGGTATGTAATTTGCCATAATTAGTCTTGTGTTAGCAAGTCCAAGCCCCTCCCACCCCTTGTTCGTTCCAGGGACTACTCTTAATATTGTTCAGCCTTATCTTAGCAAGTTTTAGCCCCGCCCACCCACCCTTTTTTTTCTTAGATGATATGTCATTTACCAAAATCGATCTTATCTTAGCAAGTACTAGCCACCAGCCCTCTATTTTCTTAGAGGGTATGTAGTTTGCCACAATCAGTCTTATCTTAGCAAGTACAAGCCCCTCCCACACACCCTTTAATTTCTTAGCAGATACTGGCTCTGCCCACACAGGCTGGGGTCATTCCAACGAATTTATCTCGCTTTAGTTGAAATCCAACCTTTGATTCGGACTATATAAAATGATGACTGAAATGGAGGCGGGGTGGGTGGGCGTGGTGAATTATATGTTTTTTTGTAAAGTGAGAATGGAACTAATGGAACGTAGGCTGTCAAAAAAGCGTTAATCGTATTTTTTTAGTATACTACTTATTTGCTGCAACATTTATTTCTTATTTCTGAAGAAACAAATTATAGAACGGGTGGGTGGGTGGGGCTAAATTTAACTTTTTCCTACAGAATCTTTTATAAGCAAGCAATAGCCTCGCCCACCCACCCTCTCTTCATTCCAGCTATTACTCTTAATATTGTTCAGTTATTTAACAAAATCAGTCTTATTTTAACAAATATTAGCTCCGCCCACCCGCCCTCTATTTTCTCAGGGGGTATGTAATGTGCCATAATCAGTCTTATCTTAGCAAGTGGTACACTGCACCAATCCCAGTGTGCGTGTCCTTGAAAAAAATGTTGATGACGTCATCATAAAATTGTATAAAAAAAACAACTCGAAAATGATGGATGTTTCAATGTACTTCTGGTGCGAGGGAAGTTCTGTTGAAACAACTTTGGACCAATTTTTTGGTTATTATCGAAGTAAATGTATTACAATGGTAAAACATCACATCCACTAATTGTACAAGAACCCTAAAACTATTTAAACTTTAGATATAATAGTTATATTGACAATTGATTTTTTAGTAGCGCCGTCTAGGGGGAAGTGCCTCAACTTTAAAACGTCAAAACCAACCCATGGAATAGAATTTTGATCCACTGTGTATACAAAAATTGAAAATTAATTGCGTCGTCGAGATTCGAACTAAAATAGTTGCGATGTCCTCATGATTTAACGACCGACATTATTGTATTAAACAATTTGTAAAAGCACCAAACGGTTTTAAACAACATTTTAAGTTGGTTATGCTGTCGCGTGTTTGTCACTTTTTTGACGTAAAATATCGTCTTACCAACCCCGAAAAAGCTAAGATGGCTGCTGTTGGGGCCAAAATTAGGCCGTTGGTGTTGGTTCAGCTATTTTCAACGTTCGTATTTCAAGTGGATTCAAGTGTCGTGAAGTTTAGGAATCTGTATAACGTGTTTTCCGTTGATAAAACCCCCTTTTTTGGCCCGGTTTGTTCTCGTCCCGCCAGATGTCAGCGTGTCCGTTGACAGTTGATCCGCGCAAGTGCACCTCGTCAGAATCGCCGTACCGTCGCCCCCGCTCCCGAGGCGCAGTCTCAGTTTTCAGTCCCACAAAGCGGTCAAAAACAGATGAGTCTCAATTGCGATCCGGTCTCGGCGAAGTAGTGAAGCACTAAATCCGACCCCGAACAGCAGCCCCCTTGTGCCTAGGTGCCCAGACAAGGCGGGTGCAAACGCCGTGCCCCTCGTCCACGCTGCACCGCTGAACGCAGTTCAATAACATTGCAGATGAGCCGTTAGGTGATAGTGCAGTGCGAGCGAACTCCGGACATGCTAGGTTAGGTGCTCTCAGGCGGACCCAGTGCCGAAGTCGGTGTGTTTCATGGTGCGATCTGTGGGTTATGCGCTGCTGATGGAAGACGATTGTTGGTGCGGTGCCCTGGCCATAAACGCACGGGTTGTGCGCTTTCGGGATACGAAACCTCTATAATGTCGGGGAGTCTGATGAACGAGGAGCACAAGTCGCCTAGGGAAAGCGGCGAGGACTCTGAAGACGAAAGCGAAATCCTGGAGGAGAGCCCCTGCGGCCGGTGGCTGAAGCGGCGAGAGGAGGTGAGCATGTAGCGAGTGCGAAGGGGGCACCTTTGACGTGACCATAACCTAGCCGGCGACCATCTTGCCTGGCCCGCGAAGGCCGCATGCCCGCCGGGATCGATTGGGCGACGGCCCCAAGTCGTGCGGGTTCTAACCTGCGAATACCGCCACCGAGACGGCACAAGTTGCGACAGCCGGTTATTTTTAGAATTAGAAGAACTATGACCTTCTGGTGTAATGGGTATAACCGGTTTATGGAGGAATTTCGGATTCGATTGCTGTTCTTGCGGCTTTTCGGACGGACACGTTGCAGAGGGAGAGTCGGGGGGTGGTCGGGGACGAGGGTTGGCGGCCGAGAGGGTTAGAAACAGAGTTGCGACGGAAAATATGCGAATGCTATTTTTCGCCGGAAATTACCTGCGATGCTGCGCTTTTGTTCGAACTCGGTGTGCCTCTTCAGCCAGAAATTATCCGTTTGCGAAAACAAAACCTCAATATGGTACGGTTGACAACAAAAATGTTGGCCGAAAAAATTCGGAATTAGCGTTGGCCGTGCTCGTGCACCTCCATTTATCGGTTGTACTGGATTAATGTCGGTTATTTTCATATATATTGAAGCGTTCGAGCAGATAATCCAGATAAGGGAAAGTTAAGATAAGATAACTTTCCAAAACAAAAGGAGAGCGGAACACATGTTTCAGAATGTATCGGAAGAGATATTGAATTGCCAACTGCAATTCTTTTTTAGTCACAGGGTTACACATAAATTAGTCAGCAATGAGAGCCTAAATGTTGAGTGTTAAATCTGGAGCTATTATTCACTGTTAGATAGTCAGTGATGTGCATTTGATCGTTAGTTGCACCACACAAAAAGTTATTTTCGGTAATGCAGCAGTTCCGCGAAGATTGCAATCACCAAAATTTACATATCACAGTTATAAATTTTGTCAATATTTTTCGGCAACATTAGTATGCAATTTACCAAAATGTCAATGCTATGGTATTTTATAGTTGACGATATTTGAATTTTTAAGTATATTTTCTGTGGCGAAATAATAATCTGGCCGGTATTTTACGAAACTCGCAAAGATCACATAGGTATTTTGTTTTATTTGAGACAATGTTAAAAAAAAATTAAAACCGTAAACAAGAGTACTATATAAATTAACTGGTATAGTGAAACCCCTGCTGATTTAATTTTGTGTTTGAATGTCGAACATTTTCTAAGAGGGCGAAAAATTTCTAGGGCCACTATTTTTTTTAGAACCAGAAGGAATCCCCACGTCCCTCCATATTTTATTTGTGAAAGAATTTTAAGACTCTTTTAGGATGTGAAAGAAGCCTTTTTTAGGAAATTTTAAAGAATGTCGGGCTCCTTATGTCAGATCTTTGATAAAGTTTGAAAGAATCTCGGGCTCCTATGTTTGATTTTGAAAATGTTTAAAAGAATCTCTGGCTCTGTGTCTGATCTTTATAAAAGGTCGAAAGAATCTCGGGCTCCTGACGTTTGATTATGAAAGTGTCAAAAGAATCTCGGGCTCCTTATGTTTGATTTTAAAGAAGTTTGAAAGAATCTCGGGCTCCTTGTGTTTGATTATGAAAATGTTAAAAGAATCGGCTTTTTACGTTTGATTTTCAAAATGTTAAAAGAATCTCGGGCTTTTCACGTTTGATTTTTGAAAAAGTTTGAAAGAATCTCGGGCCCCTTCTGTTTGATTTTGAAAATGTGTAAAAGAATCTCAGGTTTCGTACGTTTGATTTTGAAAATGTTAAAAGAATCTCGGGCTCCTTATGTTTGATTTTGAAAAGTTTACAAGAATCTCGGGTTTCTTATGTTTGATTTTCAAAAAGTTAAAAAAATCGCGGACTCCTTATGTTTTATTTTGAAAATGTTTAAAGGAATCTCGGGTTTCTTACGTTTGATTCTGAAAATGTTAAAAGAATCCCGGGCTTCTTACGTTTGATTTTGAAAATGTTAAAAGAATCTCGGGCTCCTTATGTTTGATTTTGAAAATGTTTACAGGAATCTCGGGTTTCTTAAGTTTGATTTTCAAAAAGTTAAAAAAAATCGCTGGCTTCTTATGTTTGATTTTGAAAATGTTTAAAGGAATCTCGGGTTTCGTACGTTTGATTTTGAAAATGTTAGAATCTCGGGCTTCTTACGTTTGATTTTGAAAATGTTAAAAAGAATCTCGGGCTCCTTATGTTTGATTTTGAAAATGTTTAAAAGAATGTCGGGTTTCTTATGTTTGATTTTGAAAATATTTAAAGGAATCTCGGGTTTCCTACGTTTGATTTTGAAAATGTTCAAAGAATCTCGGGCTTCTTACGTTTGATTTTGAAAATGTTAAAAGAATCTCGGGCTCCTTATGTTTGATTTTGAAAATGTTTACAGGAATCTCGGGTTTCTTAAGTTTGATTTTCAAAAAGTTAAAAAAAAATCGCGGGCTCCTTATGTTTGATTTTGAAAAGTTTACAAAAATCTCGGGTTTCTTATGTTTGATTTTCAAAAAGTTAAAAAAATCGCGGGCTCCTTATGTTTGATTTTGAAAATGTTTAAAGGAATCTCGGGTTTCCTACGTTTGATTTTGAAAATGTTAGAATCTCGGGCTTCTTACGTTTGATTTTTAAAATGTTAAAAGAATCTCGGGCTCTTTACGTTTGATTTTTGAAAAGGTTTGAAAGTATCTCGGGTTTCTTATGTTTGATTCTGAAAATGTTAAAAGAATCTCGGGCTTCTTACGTTTGATTTTGAAAATGTTAAAAGAATCTCGGGCTCCTTACGTTTGATTTTGAAAATGTTTACAGGAATCTCGGGTTTCTTAAGTTTGATTTTCAAAAAGTTAAAAAAAATCGCGGGCTCCTTATGTTTGATTTTGAAAATATTTAAAGGAATCTCGGGTTTCCTACGTTTGATTTTGAAAATGTTCAAAGAATCTCGGGCTTCTTACGTTTGATTTTGAAAATGTTAAAGAGAATCTCGGGCTCCTTATGTTTGATTTTGAAAATGTTTAAAAGAATGTCGGGTTTCTTACGTTTAATTTTGAAAATGTTAAAGAATCTCGAGCTCTTTACGTTTGATTTTTGAAAATGTTTGAAAGAATCTCGGGCTTTTTATGTTTGATTTTGAAAATGTGTAAAAGAATCTCGGGTTTCCTACGTTTGATTTTGAAAATGTTCAAAGAATCTCGGGCTTCTTACGTTTGATTTTGAAAATGTTAAAAAGAATCTCGGGCTCCTTATGTTGGATTTTGAAAATGTTTACAAGAATCTCGGGTTTCTTATGTTTGATTTTCAAGAAGTTAAAAAAATCGCGGGCTCCTTATGTTTGATTTTGAAAATTTTTAAAGGAATCTCGGGTTTCTTACGTTTGATTCTGAAAATGTTAAAGAATCTCGGGCTCCTTATGTTTGATTTTGAAAATGTTTGCAAGAATCTCGGATTTCTTATGTTTGATTTTCAAAAAGTTAAAAAAATCGCGGGCCCCTTATATTTGAGTTTGAAAATGTTTAAAGGAATCTCGGGTTTCCTACGTTTGATTTTGAAAATGTTAAAAGAATCTCGGGCTCCTTATGTTTGACTTTGAAAATGTTAAAAGAATCTCGGACTCTTTACGTTTGATTTTTGAAAAAATCCGAAAGAATCTCGGGCCTCTTATGTTTGATTTTGTAAATGTGTAAAAGAATCTCGGGTTTCCTACGTTTGATGTTGAAAATGTTAAACGAATCTCGGGCTTTTTACGTTTGATTTTTAAAAAGGTTTGAAAGAATCTCGGCCTCCTTATGTTTGAAAATGTTTAAAAGAATCTCAGGTTTCGTACGTTTGATTTTGAAAATGTTAAAAGAATCCCGGGCTTCTTACGTTTGATTTTGAAAATGTTAAAAGAATCTCGGCTTCTTTACGGTGGATTTTTGAAAAGGTTTGAAAGAATCTCGCACTTCTTATGTTTGATTTTGAAAAGGTGTAAAAGAATCTAAGGCTCATAACGTTTGATTTTTGAAAAGGTTTGAAAGAATCTCGCACTTCTTATGTTTGATTTTGAAAAGGTGTAAAAGAATCTCAGGCTCATAACGTTTGATTTTTGAAAATGTTTAAAAGAATCTCGGGTTTCTTACGTTTATTTTTGAAAATGTTGAAATAATCTTGGGCTCTTTACGTTTGATTTTTGAAAAGGTTTGAAAGAATCTCAGGCTTCTTATGTTTGATTTTGAAAATGTGTGAAAGAATCTCGGGCTCATTACGTTTGATTTTTGAAAATGTTAGGAGAATCTCGGGCCCTTTACGTTTGATTTTTGAAAAGGTTTCAAAGAATCTCGGGTTCCTTATGTTTGATTTTGAAAATGTTTAAAAGAATCTCTGATTTCATACGTTTGATTTTGAAAATGTTAAAAGAATTTCGGCCTCTTTACGGTTGATTTTTGAAAAGGTTTGAAAGAATCTCAGGCTCAGTACGTTTGATTTTTGAAAATGTTTAAAAAAATCTCGGGCTCCTTTTGTTTGATTTTGAAAATGATTAAAAGAATTTCGGGTTTCTTACGTTTAATTTTGAAAATGTTGAAAGAATCTTGGGCTCTTTACGTTTGATTATTGAAAAAGTTTGAAAGAATCTCGGGCTTCTTATGTATGTGTAAATATTAAAAAAAAACACATTTTTTTTCCAATGGTAATCTTCCATGGAGGTAATTGCTGTCATTTTTAAAAAAACAAGAAAAAAAAAACCGTTTTAGAATTACAATATAAACTGCCACACAGTGAATTTATGCATTATAAGATCTAGACCTAGCGTATAATTTTACGTGCTCACAACCTAGGAAAAAAAATTCTGGATCTAGTCGATATTTCGTGTTCGTTGACATTGAACAACACATAAATATTTTTTTAGAAGTTGTATACAATAAATACGCCTCGTGGCCGCCTAAACTTAGAATATTGTACGCCAAAAAAGTCGGTCAGAACAAAAATATCGTGTAAACATTTTTGTGTTTGTTTTGTTCATATAAGTGTTTCTATCATAATTT